CAAGGTAGGCCTACACCTTGCCTGCAGTTCGCATGCTCTTCACAGACCTGTATGTGAAAGAAGCCTGCCTCCTCCCAGCTGTGGTGCGGCCCCGGCGATGGTGGGGCCTCCTAGGCTGGGAGCTGGGGCCTGGCGTGTGTGTGCGTCAGACCCTGCCTGAGCCCGCCTTCCTGGGGTCAGCCTGCCGCATAGATAGAGGCTTAGGCGGCCCTGTGGGGCCTGCCCCAGCCCTGCCCCTTCTTGTCGCCTGCTGCTCCCTTCTCTGCATCTCTGCTCATCCTGTCTGGGGCGCAGGATGTCCTGTTTAGTTTGGTTTTTGACTTTATGTGTTTGGTGCATTTCAAGAGGAGCTTCTCCTTCAGCTCTCCTCTTGTGGTGGCTGAGCTGTCATCCACTGCGTACTCTCGGTTACTGTGCCCACCTGTCCGTGCTGTTCGTGGTGCACTTTCCCCAGGACTCTGGCTTCTTCATAGTTCCCTGTGTGTCCCTTCCCTGTTCAAAAGTAGAAAAGGATGTTTATCCCTCCTTTATGAACAAACATAATACGAGAAACAGAGCTCTGTATGACCACGCTCCCTTAGTTATTCAGATTTATAAAATTAAGTGTTCAATTATATGCAGCTTACTTTTACAGTGATAGTGTTGATACACTTAACACCCGTGTATATCCTTACAGGCTCCTGTTTTTTCCCAGTTTGGACATATTCTGGTTACCTGTACTTACTGATATCTTTTTAGTGTTTACAGGTTCACAGCTTGGCTAGTGACAGCCCCTCCAGGCCAGCTTCCTTACCTAGTAACACAGGCACGTGTGAAGACCTCCTCCTTTTCAGACACAGCAAGGGATTCCAGTACCATATTGATTGGTTCTCTTTTTTCTGTTCTAAGACATGGAGTTAGGTGCTGTCCTGAGTACTTGTAACGGGAAGTACTATTAGAAACAAATCTGGGTGCTCTGGGTTTGTTTTGCGTGTTCTACAACAGTCTGGTGGTGGGGAGGCTAATAAAGTCACTGCTAGAACACTTCAGGGTCAGAGCTGGGAAAGAGAATCCTCTTTATGATCGTGGGTAAACCTGGATATTTTTCTGATTTAACTTCAAAACTGTCTAATCCTTTCTTAATGCCCACCTAAGTTTTTTTTTTTTAATATTTTTATTTATTTCTAGGAGAGAGAGAGAGAGAGACAGCGTGAGCAGGGGAGGGTCAGAGAGAGAGGGAGATACAGACTCTGAAACAGGCTCCAGGCTCTGAGCTGGCAGTCAGCACAGAGCCCGACGCGGGGCTCGAACCCACGAACCGCGAGATCATGACCCAAGCGAAAGTCGGACGCTTAACTGACTAAGCCACCCAGGTGCCCCTGCCCACCTAAGTTTTTAACTGCTTCTACTCCCTTCTGTTTAGTATTTCTTTGTATCTCATTGACAACTGTTCTGTCGTTGCTTTCTTGCTAAAATACCGAATTGCTTTCCAGAAGCATTGTAACCTTATCATGGGCTTGCTGCTGCCCGCTGTAAGGAATGCTGTTGTGTCATCCTGGCCTTGCCAGCACTTGGTGTTTCTGTGTGTGGTGAATATACTTAATCATTGTTATTATCTCCTTTTCACCTTCCAACGTCTCCCCTAATTAAAAATGTACAATGCTATCTTTGGTTGCTTTCATTTATCTTTGAATACTACATGTATTTACATCTCTTCGTTCCTTGAGTTTTCTTGGTTTCTTAAGTCTTGATGATTTATAGATTTGAATGAGTTCTTATGTGTAAGTTAATGCAGTCATACGTAATACTACTATTACAGCTTATTGAGAGATAATTCATATACCGTACAGCTACCTATTTAAATCAGTGGGTTTTAGTGTATTCACAAGGTTATACAGCCATCATCACTATCTAGTTCCAGAATGTTTTTGTCACAGAGACTTTAGCAGCCACTTTCCATTGCCCCTGTACCCCAGTCCCTGACGGACCATTCATCCGCTTTCTGCCTGTGGATCGGCCCATTCTGGATATTTCATGGAAATGGAATCCACTCTTCCCCTCCCCTCAATCTGTGACTTTTTATGTCTGGCCTTTTTCACTTGGCATTATGGTTTCCATGTTCATTTATGTTGTAGTATGGTCATTACTTCCTTTTTATGACTGAATAATACTCCTTTTTTTTTTTTAAGTTTATTTATTTATTGGAGAGAGAGAGAGAACATGCACAAACGAGGAGGGGAGGGGCAGAGAGAGAGAGAGGGAGAAAGAGAATCTCTGAGTTCGTTGACTTGGGACTCAAACTCAACAAACCATGACATCATCACCTGAGCCGAAGTCGGATTCTTAACCAACTGAGTCACCCAGGAGCCCCAATACTCAGTTTTATGGCTAGACGACATTTTGTTTATCCATTTATCCATTGGTGGACATCTGGGTTGTTTTCACCTTTTGGCTGTTATCAGTCATGCTGCTGTGAACATTTTTTACAAGTTTATGTGGACATAGGTTTCCATTTCTCTTGAGTACACGCCTAGGAGTGGAATTCCTTGGTTATATGGTACCTGTTTCATTTTGAGGAACTGTCAAACTGTCTGCCAAGTTTCTGTCTGCCCCATTTTCTGTTCCCAGTAACAGTGTGTGGGGGTGCCAGGTTCTCCACATCCTCACCAACACCTGTTCTGATCTGTCTTTTTGATTCTAGCCACCCTAGTGGCTATGAAGAGGCATATCATTGTGGCTTTGCTTTGCATTCCTGTAATGACTGATGGTGAGCATCTTTTCACATATTTATTGGCCATTTGTATGTCTTTTTGGAGAAATGTTATTCAGATCCCTTGCCTGTTTTTTAATTCTGTGTGTGTGTGTGTTTTAATTGAATTGTAAGAGTTCTTTATGTAATCTGGATACAACCCCCTACCAGATACATGATTTGCAAATATTTCCTTAAATTCCATAGGTTGTCTTTTCACTTTCTTGATGGTGCTTTTGAAGCACAAAAGTTTTTAATTTGATGAAGTCTCTTTGATCTGCTTTTTGCTGCTATTGTTCCTTGTGCTTCTGGTTACATATCTAAGAAACCACTGTCAAGGTCAGGGAGATTTACTGGTATATCTTCTTCTATGAGTTCAGGAGTTTCAGTTCTTACATGTAGATCTTTGATACATTTGAGTTAATTTTGTATATGATATAGGAAAGACCTTCAGCTTCATTCTTTTTGCATGTGGCTATGCATATGTCCCAGCACCATCTGTTGAAAAGTCTGTCCTTGCGCACTAAAGGGTCTTGGCACCCTTGTCAAAAATCAGTGGACTGTAGATGTCTAGGTCTGCTTCTGAACTCTGTCCCATCCATTTCTTTGTCTGTCCTGTGCCAGGACCACCCTGTCTTGATTACTGTAACTCTGCAGTCAGTTTTGAAATCAGGTAGTGTGAGGTAGCCATCCAGCTTTGTTCCTTTATTGAGATTGTTTAGATATTCTGGGTTCCTTGAATTGTCATGTGATTTTAGGGTCAGCTTGTCAATTTCTTTTTTTTTTTTTTTTTTAACGTTTATTTATTTTTGAGACAGAGAAGAGACAGAGCAGGAGCTGGGGAGGGGCAGAGAGAGAGGGAGACACAGACTCTGAAACAGATTCCAGGCTCTGAGCTGTCAGCACAGAGCCCGATGTGGGGCTCGAACCACGGACCACGAGATCATGACCTGAGCTGAAGTCGGACGCTTAACCGACTGAGCCACCCAGGCGCCCCCAGCTTGTCAATTTCTGTAAGGAAGCCAGCTAGGATTTTAATAGGGACTGCCTTAAATAATTTTTAAAATCTGTCAAAATTTTGTATTTGTTTAGATAATTTAAAAACAGAACACTTTAACTAGTTTGGAGGTAACTTTGGTATTGAGTGGGTTCAAAATTAGATATGTTTCCAAGTAGTTTTTTAAGTTTATTGAATTTTTTTTTTTTTTTTACATTTATTTATTTTTTGAGAGACAGAGGCAGAGCATGAACTGGGAAGGGGCAGAGAGAGGGAGACACAGAATCTGAAGCAGGCTTCAGGCTCTGAGCTGTCAGCACCGAGCCTGACGTGGGGCTCAAACCCACGATCATGATCTAGGCCGAAGTCGGCCACTTAACCGACTGAGCCAGCCAGGTGCCCCTATTGATTTATTTTTGTGTGAGAGAGAATGAGAGCATGCAAGAGCCAGCAGGGAAGGGATAGAAAAGAGAGGGAACCAGAGAATCTCAAGTTGTTGCTAATGCAGAGCCTGACATGGGGTTTGATCTTACAAACTCTGGGATCATGATCTGAGCCGAAATGGAGAGTTGGACGCTCAACCAGTGGAGCCACCAAGGCGCCCCAGATATTTTTAAAATTGTTAACCAATTATTCCACTTCTGTCTTTTTTGAGAAGCTTACATATTTTTATCACCTGTAACTTTTATTTGTAGTTGACAGTTCTTGGACTCTTCTTGCATGAAGTTATGCTTCTGTGTTTCAGGACGGCTAGGCTAAAATTCTGTTCTGTCGTGGGATGCAGTCTGAAGGCAATCTGTTTGTTCAAGTCCTGATTGAATACCTGCTGTATGTGCAGCCTTGTGCAAGGTGTGGGTGGGTGAGTAGGCAAGGGATTCTGGAATGGCGACACTGTGGTCAGAGAGTTTGGACTGGCTTCCTCTGTGGGCAGGGGTTGGCTGCAGGTGTTGTTGAGGCTCAGCAGTGATGGGAAGGCCAACCGGCCACAGCGGGGTGGGGGTAGTTCGACATTCACTCCACACTGAGGCAGGACGATGATGGCAGACAGGTGCTGGATGGTGGCGTTGGTGGCCACACAGGTTAGGGGTGGGGTTGGGATTTGAGCAGCGAAGGGACTTGGGAGAGGAGGGCGGTGGCCTGAACCCTGCGGCCGAATTCAGACGGCTTATCCTGTACTTGGCGGTGTTTGTGTTTCAACAATGTAAGTGCATCACTTCACACATTTAGAAAAAGTGAGCTGCTTTGAGTCTTACCTTTTTTTCCTGTGTCCACCAGTATGACACCGTTCCTATCCAGTCCAGCGTGGTGTTATGTTCTTGCCCGTCCCCATCAATGGTGAGGACCCAGACTGAGTCCGGCTCTGCCCCTGGCATTCCCAGCGGTGGCAGCAGACAGGGCTCCACCATGGACAGCACCGCGGCTGAGTCCCGATCGAGCGCAAACTCGCTGCAGCACACCACACAGCCACCGCCACAGCCTCGGAAGAAACGGCCTGAAGACTTCAAATTTGGGAAAATTCTTGGTGAAGGCTCTTTTTCAACAGTGAGTACATGCCGCTGCTGTCCGTTGAATGAGCAGGCCCCTCAGGGTTCTGCTCCTGTTGTGAAGGTGATTTGGGGCTGCCTAACGCCAGGTAGATCACATGGTTAAAATATCAAAGCCGTGACTTTGTTTTTGTTTTTTATTTTGTTTTTTAAATTTTTTAATGTTTTTTATTTATTTTTGAGAGAGAGATAGAGACAGCATGAGCAGGGGGGGTCAGAGAGAGAGAGAGACACAGAATCTGTAGCAGGCTCCAGGCTCTGAGCTAGCTGCCAGCACAGAGCCCGATGTGGGGCTCAAACCCACAAACCATGAGATTATGACCTGAGTTTAACCGACTGCGCCACCCAGGTGCCCCAAAGCCGTGACTTTGTACATAAAAGCTTTAAAAGGCATCTTTTGATTGTTCTGGGGTTTTTTTTTTTCCTTTTAATGTTTGTTTTATTTTTTGAGAGAGAGAGGGAGAGAGCATGTAAGCGGAGAGGAGCAGAGAGACAGGGAGACAGATTTCCAAGCAGGTTCTGGGAGCTTGAACCCACCAACTATAAGATTATGACCTGAGCCAAAATCAAGAGTTAGATGCTCAAGTGATTGAGCCACCCAGGTGCCCCTGTTTTTTTGGTTTTGTGGTGGTTTTTTTTGGGGGTGGGGTTTGGTGTTTTGTTTTTTTTTTTTTTAATGTTTTATTTATTCCTGAGAGAGAGAGAGAGAGACAGCATGAACAGGGGAGTGTCAGAGAGAGGGAGATGCAGAATCTGAAGCAGGCGCCAGGCTCTGAGCCAGCTCTCAGCATAGAGCCCGACATGGGGCTCGAACCCACGAACCATGAGATCATGACCTGAGCCGAAGTCAGATGCTTAACCACTTAACCGACTGAGCCACCCAGGCGCCCCATGGTTTTGTTTTGTTGTTAAATGCAGTTCATTTATATCCTAATTTTTATTCTGATTCTAATTTATTCATCAACAAGTTATATCCTGTTGCTTGTGTCTCATTAGCAAGGTCCTGGCAAGATTTTCTGTCCCTTCTACTGTAAGTGTCAGCATTAATATCTCTTCAGAGGTTTTGGGAAACGTTTAGTGACCTTTATTATTTCTTTTTTATTTAAAACAATGCATAAAACAGCACAAGCTTGACAGCTGCTAGAGGCGCAGCCCCAGACTTGCTAGCCTCCAGATTCTCGTGGCCTCAGTTTCACAATCAGCAATAGTATTTTCACAATCAGCACCGTCACATCACATGCTGGGTACCTCTGTTTGCTACCTGAGTCAGCTGTGCCTGTCTTGTGGCGTTTTTCCTTTTAAAGCAAAGAATGCAGGTTCAGAGCAGCCCGTTTGCTCAGGTAGGAGCTCCATGTGGCTGAGGTGAGGCCAGCGGGAGGCCTGAGCGCCTGGACCCAGCAGAGCCCTGCGGATGGCCAGGGCGGCTCTGGAGCCGCCTCCTGCTGGCAGGGCCTTCTTGCCTGGCCTCCGTGAGAAAACTTGAGGTGAAATGTGTTTCCCTTTTGTCTTTTTACATTCATGAAGTGTTGTAAAATACAAAGAAGAACATGAAATTTAGCTCACCCATGTTCTCAGCTTTGTTTTCATCAGTGTTAACTTTTGCTTCCTTCCTTCCTTCCTTCCTTCCTTCCTTCCTTCCTTCCTTCCTTCCTTCCTTCCTTCCTTCCTTCTTTCCTTTTTGTTTGTTTATGAGAGAAATGGACAGAGAGAGAATTCCAAGCAGGCTCTGTGTTCGATCTCCCGAACCATGAGATCATGACCTGAGCTGAAATCAAAAGTCAGATGCTTGGGGCGCCTGGATGGCTCAGTCAGTTAAGTGTCCGACTTTGGCTCAGGTCATAATCTCATTGTTCATGGGTTCAAGCCCCGCGTTGGGCTCTGTGCCGACAGCTAGCTCAGAGCCTGGAGACTGTTTTGGATTCTGTGTCTCCATCTCTCTCTGACCCTCCCCTGCTCATGCTATCTCTCTCTCAGAATTAAATAAAACGTTAAAAAAATAAAACAAAAAACAAAAGTCAGATGCTCAACTGACTGAGCCACCCAGGCGCCTCTCCCCTTATACTTTTAATTTAGATTGTTTATTGGCAGTTTCTGTTTAAATTATGAAAGAATTGTGCCCTCATGATAAAAACCTTGACTATATTGATAAAAATCAAACCATGAGCATAGATGCCAGTAGTTCTGGCACTCACAGATCCTCTCAGAAAGAAGAAACTATTTTGAAAAGAACCTTGGGTGTTCTGCATGTTTACTTAAAATAGTCCAGTAAAAGAGGAAACATTCTCTCTTTTTCTCAGTTTTACTTCATGGACATTTATCTTGACTAATAAATGAGGACTTATTTGTGAGATTCCCCTTTGTCCACGGGTTTCCACAGTGGGTAAGAGTAGGGTGATGCACTCCATTCTGGGTGATGCACTCCTGCTGTTGAAAAGCCCCAGCTGTAATTCTTGCATCCCTGTGCCTTTTGAACCCCTGTGCCAGGGAGGTGCCAGGGAAGAGCACCATGAGCTAGAGGCGCCTTCCTGGCACTGTTTGGAGTCTTGTAGGCCTGGGTCTCAAATTATATGTGCTACCCTCAGGTCTTCCTCACCACTCCTGAAATAGAGACCACTTAAAATTGGATTTCCAGGGGAGGGTGGAGGCCAAGAGGCACTTCCCAGGCTGGGCAGGATCTGCTCTTGGCCGAGCCTGGCCCTGGAGAGTAGGGAGGCCCAGCTTGCTGCTGCCTGGCCCCCTGGGAGTATCTTGACATCCAGATTAGCCCTGCTGTCAGCCCGGAGGGCCATGGAGGATGCGTCATGCCTTGTTCTCTGGAAGAGGGATATTTCCTGCCCTGTGCCATAAGGAGGCCTGCATGTGAGATGATGAATTCACACAACAGAAGGATTTCATAAATACCTCCTTCAGAAAGGATCCCATTACTTGTTGGTACTCTCTAATAGTTTCTTCTTGCTCTGTTCTGCTGGGTAGCTAGTACATGCTTCTATGAAAACATTCAGCATTTCATAAACGCAAAATGTAAGGAGAGGGTACTTTCCGCAGTCCCTCCTCCACACCCCCAGTGCCTGAGAATAGTCCACACAGGTACACTCCTCCAGAAAGATCTTTGAGAACTTCCACCTGAGCACATACAGCCCTGTTCTCAGTAACTGTAGGGCATTTCACACAGTGCTTTCCCAGCATCACTTTTGGTGAGTCTGCTGGAGAATTCTATATTAGGATGATCCTGGCCCATGGCCTCCGAAGGTCTTCCCAGGAGGCCCAGGGGTCTCCAAGGATTCAGGCAGGTTTCCATCTGCTCTCTGGTCCTCAGACTATCTCTTTGTGTAGGTGCCTTAGGAAAGGCACCAGCCTCTGCTGGCAGGGGTGGGAGGGGCTGCCCCAGCTTCCCACCTGACAGGCCTCGTCAGGCCTGTGGGAGTCGGTGCCAAGTTGTGCTCAGAGGCCACTTGTATAGAACTGTCTTTTCCACGTTGTGCTGTGCCCTGTTGATTCTCTGCCCCGAAGTGGTGTTTGAGTACAAGACTTAGGTGTGCTACCGAGAGGGCCTAGCCCTGGGGTGTGACTGGACCCTGGTGGGAGATGTGACTTCCGGGAGGCACTCTCTGTGGGCTACGTGTGGGGTTTAGCTTCCTGCGGCCTTGATAGCAGGGATAGTGTTTACAGTACCTGAGAGTGGCATCAAGAGAAATGTAACAATTACTTGAAAAAGCCCAAATTCAGGGCAAGAATTAACAATGAACATATACTGAGAACATATTCTTAAAAAAATTATTTAAAAATTCTTTTTTACATTTATTCATTTTTGAGAGAGAGAGCGAGCGAGGGAGGGGCAGAGAGAGAGAGAGGGAGACACAGGATCTGAAGCAGGCTTCAGGCCCTGAACTGTCAACACAGAGCCTGATGTGGGGTTTGAACCCATGAACCACAAGATCATGACCTGAGCCAAAGTCATTGCTTAACCTACTGAGCCACACAGGCACCCCTCTTAAAGTTATTTTTTAAAGGAATTCCCAGGACCCACTTGTAGAGGTATTATTTGCTGCTGCTTTCTAGTATTTGTGAGGGTTACATTAGTGTAGGATGTTCCTAAATGTGTACTTCAAGACACCATGGGAATTTAGAGCTGATCAAGAACCTGCTGAAGGTAGTCGATTGATATATGCATTTGCTGTTTATAGAACATATTCACTTTGTTGTTAACATTCAGCTGTATTTGTTAGCGTGGGACCAGATATGTTTTAATGTTATTTCAAATACTTAATGTAATTTCAGGGTGGGTGCACATTAGCCCATTTGGTCAGCTACAGGGTGACTTGTGAGACTGAATGCTCTGGTTCATTGAGGGCTTTTTCTCTCCTCTTTCCCCTTCTCTTCTGAAACCAGGTTGTCCTGGCCCGAGAATTGGCGACCTCAAGGGAATATGCTAGTAAGTACTAAGTCTGGATGGCCTTCCGTCTGGGATGGGGAGCAGGGTGCCTGCAGACACGTGGCCACCTGGCTGCCCAGCGCCCAGAGGTCCTATGCTCATTTCAGGGGCGGCACTGTTGGTCTTAGAGACCATGGAGCCGGTGGGTATGTTCTGTGAAAAAGTTTAATTTGATCCAGTTACCTTTATGAGTTTTGTTTCTAGTTTGGTGTTTTGTTTTGTTTTTACCGCTATCAATTGTAGTAACTTGCTTCTCTCTTACTTTAAGTTAAAATTCTAGAGAAACGTCACATTATCAAAGAGAACAAGGTCCCGTATGTAACCAGAGAGAGAGATGTGATGTCACGCCTGGATCATCCGTTCTTTGTTAAACTTTACTTCACATTTCAGGATGATGAAAAGCTGTGTATCCTTTGAACAGTCAGACCTGAAATCGCACCAGTGACCTGTGCTATTTTGGAGTCACAACCCCAGTGTGTATTTTTACAAGTCGTCCCTCCCTGGACAGGACAAGCAAGGGTGGCATATTCTAAGCACAAATGAATTCACGTCACTTTGCTGTGGGAGCCCCTGGGGATTGTTGACACTCATTGAAGTAGAACATTACTTCAAGGGAAATCAGCATAAACTTTTTTGAGGTTTTTATAGATAAGCTTTGTATCCGAAGGATTGTTATTATTTTAAGCCCGTGGTTGCTAGACATTTATTCAAAGACATTCCCTTATTCCTTGGACTATCCATCAGGTGTCAAGTCTCTTTTCAGAGCAGAGAAGTGAGAAAGAGGAAGAAGGATCTCAGACATCCAGGGCCCCTCTCTGCCCTTTATGGCCCAGGGGTGTAGGGTTTGGGTGACAGGCATGTCTTTACCAGGCTTAACCCCCAAGTGAGAAGTCTAAGGAGTAACCACAAGGACCTAGACTCTTTTCCCTCCCCAGGCCCTCAAGCCTGCCTCCCCCTTTGCTCCCCTCCCCAGGACCTCTCCTCTCCCCCTAGCCATGGACTGCTCTGGCCTGTGGATGGCTCTCGTCCCCCAGCGCCTCTGGCTCTCCGGCGAGGCTGCCACACCCTGCTGATTACTTCCTCTCTGGGCCTCTCCAGCTCTCTGACTTCTCCTCTAACCCCTGGGACAATGTTTTCCCCCCTTCTTTCACCTCTGCTTAGGGAGCAGGGCTGTAAGGCACCAGGGCCTGCCCATCTCGGGGCCTGGCTGGCTAGTTTCTCCTCACTCCGCGGCCTTTTCCTGTAGTTTTTCCCAGCCAGGACTTCCTCAGCCCCTGTGTGTCCCAGTGACTCTGTCCGTAGTCCCAGCAGATGCTCTTGGCTTCTGCTCTGCTGAGAGAAGGCGGCTTTCAAATGCAGTTGCTTTAGGGCTTCCTCAGGCTTAAACCTCAATCTTGACCTTAGTTCTTTCCTTCCTGCCCACGGCTCTCCTCAGCTGCCTGGAGGTAAAGCTGGTCCGTGTGAGGGCTTGGCTTCTCGACCCCCCACCCCCACCCCGTGGGCTTTCCCCTTCCCTGTTTCTACACAGACTCTCCTGGGTTGAAACTTTGCTCTATCCCAGTCCCCCTTCACCACCATTTTCTGGCTCCTTCAGTTGTCAGCTGAATTTGTCCTTTTGTTTGTTGAGGTGTTCTTGTAGAGTGCCAGCTGATGGGGGTATGCTGGTAAAGAGGTGAAGTGTCACCTTCAGGGAGTCTGCGCTCTGTGCAGGAGTTAGCACACAGATGATCAGTGCCCGTGTGCTGCACATCAAGGGAACGAGCAGTAAGGGCAGGTCAGAGGGCACCGCAATGTGCTGCTCGGGTAGCTTGGTGGTCTGAGGGGACCAGAGACCTAGGTGGAGCAAGGACAGGAGTGGTCTGTCTGTGTGGGTAGAGTGGAAAGGCTGGGCAGGGGCCAGCTCCTCCTCCCTCAGAGGCCTGGCGAGAATTATAGGTTTTCTTGTAGAGGCGCGGGGAGCCTGGAGGGGTAGAGTGGAGTGGCCATTTGCAGTGACTGCGGCTGTTGCTACACAGAAGGTTCTTGCAGGTGAGCCGGGCAAGGGGCTGTGTGGTCAAGGTGGCTTCTGGGTGTGAGTCCTCAGAGTTGGGGTGCACAACGATGTTGTAGATGAACCGAAGAGTCTGAGGGAGAGGCTAGGCTGGGGTGTGTGTGGTGTAGGCACTCGATGTATGTGTCGGCGCTGGCCACTGCTGGGTGGCTGCCGCCAAGTTTCGTGAGGAGTCAGGACAGCTTGCAAACTGAGGGCCGGTGGGGGGTGTCCGTGGGCTGCCCGGTCCTTCACAGTGCGCTCAGCAGGGAAGAGTTCTGAGGCCTGAGCCCAGGTCACCCCCACACAGAGACTGGCACGCCGGGGGCCGGGAGGACCCCCTTGGGCTACAGGGTTTCTGGGGTGGGGGGTGCTTGGCAGCCAGACCAGATGCTGCAGGGTGGTCTAGTACCTGGGGCCCGGGCCTGACCTGTGGATTGGTCCCTGTGCCACTTGTTCTGGGGGTGAGGAGGGGGTTTCAAGAGAGAGAGGTGAGGACGTGCAGGCAGCACGCCCACACTGGGCTCTTCTCAGTGCTTCCGCCTTCAGGGGAGCAGTGACGTGGTGCCAGCAAGCTGCTACGGTGCAGGGACGGCTTTCTGCTGGTTCGTTGAGAAGTTACAGAAGGTTTGCCTCTCTCTGGCTCCAGCATCACCCCTGTCCCCAGCACTCTGAAAATGGCATTTCTCTGCAAAATGTGTTACTTTACATTTGGAAAGGAGTATGCATTTGAGAAACCTTTACAGGAATTGACTCTTCGCACACCGTGGAACACAGTGGGTGCTCAGTAAAGGTTGTATGCCTGTCGTGGTGCAGGGTCGGAGGCTGTGTTACGATGGAGGGCCCTGTCCCCTTGCTGCAAAGAGGCATTTGTGCCACAGGCTGCGTCTGCTGTCTCTGGTGGCTTCCCTTCAATGAGCCCCTGGGTATTTTATGGAGACAGTGGGGTCCAGAAGGGGCAGTGTCTGTGTTTATGGTGAGAAAGCCATGCTGGCCTATTTGTGGAGGTGGGCCAGGGATTACTGTCGCACCCAACAGCTGTGTGTGTGTGATCGTGGCAGAGTCTCACTTGAAGAGGGACAGCAGTCTTAGGACACAGGTACCTTCAGTTTTCATTAATGAAAAATATTGCAGGCCGCCTGGGTAGTTTGGTCAGTAAAGCGTCCAACTCTTGATTTCGGCTCAGGCTGCAGTCTCGCAGTCCTGAGATCGAGCCTGAGTCAGGCTCCATGCTGAATGTGGAGCCTGCTGGGGGTTCTCTGTCTGTCTCTCTCACTCTCTCTCTCTTTGCCCCTCCTCTGTCCCCCAGTTAAGTAAATAAAACTTGGGGCGCCTGGGTGGCTTGCTTAGTCGGTTAAGCGTCCGACTTTCCCTTAGGTCATGGTCTCACGGTTCGTGGGTTCGAGCCCCGCGTCGGGCTCTGTGCTGACAGCTAGCTCAGAGCCTGGAGCCTGCTTCGGATTCTGTGTCTCCCTCTCTCTCTGACCCTCCCCTGCTCGCGCTGTCTCTCTCTCCTAGAAATAAATAAAAAAACGTAAATAAATAAATAAATAAAAACTTAAGAAATTTCTATTGGGCTGTCAGGTTAGTTTTAAAAAATTATTTTTGCACTCTTCCTTAACCTTGTGATATTTAGACTTTGGTCTTAGTTATGCCAAAAATGGAGAACTACTTAAATACATTCGCAAAATTGGCTCATTCGATGAGACATGCACCCGCTTTTACACGGCCGAGATGGTGTCGGCTCTGGAGTACTTGCATGGCAAGGGCATCATTCACAGGTACCATGCCAGGGGCCTATGGGCTTTGCTCCCCACACCCCAGGGACAGCTCTGCTTTATTTTCCAGAGGGGTGGGGGACCTCCTTGTGAGAGCTGAGGAATTGACGAGACTCACCAGTGATGTTGGTCTGAGGTCGTCCTTGCCGGGTGGGTGGCCTTCCCAGCCATCCTTACTGGGTGCTTTTATTCCCCACCTGGTAGCTTTTGTGTGTACTTATTTCTGGCCTTACTTTCCATGGCTTTCTGATATTGTCAAATTAAAAGTGTTCGTATGAGCTCTTTTTATTATTGTTACTGATTGTTTTTTATTGTGGTAAAAGACACCTAACAAAATTTATCACTTTAACCATTTTTTCTGTTCATTGACAAATAACAATATCATCACTGTATAAGTCAGTGGTGCACAGCAGGCTGTTTGACTAAGAATGTCGTGAAATGATGACCACAGTAGGTTTCAAAGCTCTTCTTGTGTTGGCTAAAAACAAGGGATTACACTTTAATAAAAAGTTTATTGAAAATGATAGGTGTGCTTATGAAGTGATATAATATGAATGTACTCCTTAAGTGCAGTTGATATTTGTTCACTGTGAACTTTTTGAAAGGCTTGCACTCTTGGTTGTTAGTCCGTAAAGATTATAAGTATTAATCAGTCCATTTTGTTTTCAGCCAAACGTGAAGCGTGTAATAATGTGCCTATTTAACCATTTCACCTCAGATGTAAAAACTCTGCCTTCACAGGGATCTGAAACCGGAAAACATTTTGCTAAATGAAGACATGCATATCCAGATCACAGATTTTGGGACAGCGAAAGTATTATCTCCGGAGAGTAAGCAAGGTGTGTGAGCGCTCTGTTTCCAGCAGGTCCCCACTCTGCGCGCACGGTGAAACACAGCTTCTGAGAAATGTGGTGGATTGCGCTGTCTTCGTTGTTAATGACGGTTTGTAACACCGGTGCTGTTGTAAGGTACACGCTGAAGCTTCACTCGGGAAGGCTCTGCCTCTCATGGTGGCTCTCGCCGGAGGGCTGGGGTGTGGGAGGAGGTGTGCTAGGTTTCTAGGCCTATGGTTGGTCTGCCTGGCCTTGAGTAGGGGGCGCTGGGTCGCCAGCCACTCTGCATGTCATCGTCCCAGGTCTCTGTGAGTGCCCCCTCTGGCACTTCCTAGTCCTAGAAGATGCCAGGTGCTTCCTTTGCTCCTGGTCTTCTGTGCAGGCGTGTGGAGTTGGTGGGATCAGCTCCCAGGTCTTCCACTGGCGCTTTAGATTGTAACTGCGAGAGCGCAGTCTCTGTCCCAGTGCCTGCCAGCTGCCTGTCCCCGTCTCCTCTGTGTAGCTGCCTATGGTGGCCCAGGCACCCGGATGGTGGAGGTTCTACAAGATCACAGAATGAGTAGGGACTGAGTTTTAAGCTGCTAGTCAAGTGCACGTTTATAATTGCAGGCCGTCCCAGTCACTCTTTCTCTAGGGTGGTTCCTGGGGCTGGTTTATGTATTTTGACCGTTCCGTCACCTGAGGAGGAGTTGCTGACAGTAAAGTGGGCTTGGGAGTCTGAGCTAGCCAGCATGGACCTTGAAATCAGTCAAGGACCTTGAAAATGAACCTTGAGGGGCGCCTGGGTGGCTCAGTCGATTGAGCGTCCGACTTCAGCTCAGGTCATGATCTCACAGTTCGTGAGTTCGAGCCCCACGTCGGGCTCTGTGCTGACTGCCAGCTCAGAACCTGGAGCCGGTTTCAGATTCTGTATCTCCCTCTCTCTCTGACCCTCCCCGCTCATGCTGTCTCTCTCTCTCTCTCAGAAATAAAGCATTAAAAAAAAAAAAAAAAAGAAAATGAACCTTGAGTCAGGACAGGTATGACCGACAGAGCCACCCTGGCCCGAGAGGCTGGGGCAGTGTGCTCACATCTGCCAGGCCCTGCGGGGAGCCGTGAGTGATGGAGAGGCTGGGGAGTGGCTGGGGTGGGTGTGAGTCCTTGAGTCATTGGCAGAAGGGAGATTCAGATGGAAGCCTCCACCTCCCCGCGCTGCCCCCTGTAGGAGCCGGGAGCTCCAGGCCACAGCGCCAGCAGCCGGGCTGTCCGAGGAGCCCTGCAGCTCAGCCAGGCTGGCCTGCTCTGCCTCAGGTTGGACTGAGGCCCACTCAGTGAGCATACGTAGGGCAGCTGCTGGGCTGGTGCTTGGGGTCCCCTCCTCCTGCCTGTGCCTGCCTGGGCCTCAGTGGGTTCTGTTCCGCAGGGTGCCTTCTGTTTCCTTTCTAGGAGTTTGTGCAGCCCCATGTTTGCAAACGCAGTGTTTTTCTGTAAGTTAGTGCCTTGAGATTTGTGCAGGTGCTCATTGAATCACCAAGACTGCATCTCGGCTCTCGGACCTTCTCTGAGAATCCTAAAGCACCACCCCTTAGGGGCTGAAACAAAACTTGCAAGAAAGAGATTCTTACTTCTCAACAAATTTTAGTCCTGGTGCCACTCGCCTTCTTTTCGCAGTTCCCTTCCCCTCCTTCCCGCCTTGGGGATGTCCCCTGGGCGCTGGTGAGATGCCCTGAAACTTGACCTACCTGACGCGCTGCTGCTGCTGCACAGGAACACTGTGTGGGCTGGCAGTCATGTTCTGTGGATGCGGAATGACCCATAACCGTAGGCATGGCCCGTGACAGATAAGGACCAAACAGGAACTGCCATGGCCCCAGACTTTCTTGTTGTGTCATGTGTCACTTCCCATGAGACAAGTCACCGTCCACCATAGGGCCCCCTATCAGACTCGGGAGCCAGCCACCTCGGGGCCTGCGCTTTCCGTTTTTCCTCTGTGTCTGTTTGCCTCGGAACCTTATGTTTGGCCCAAGCTAGTCCTGGTGCCTTGCAGCCGTTTTAAAAAAGAGAAGAATTTAAGTGCATTGGTGAAATAAGCCTGCATCTCTTCCTTTCGGGGAGAAGTGTAAAAGTCCTTATGTTGTAAACCAGGGGACAGTTGCTTGTACTTACAGATGAGTTGGCTTTTCCCCCTTCTTAGACGAAGAGGGAAGGCATGTAACTATGTGAATGACGTTGTAGTGACTTGCTCTCACTTTCTGTTTCAAGTAGTTTAGACTCTTAGAATTTATTCTTGCACTAGCTTTTTTTTTTTTTTTTTTTAACTTTTGTGCAGAGATGGTTTCCCTAAAACATCTTAAGCTTCCAGAGGGCAAGTGTTGGTGGGAACATGGCCCGGGTCCGTAACTGTCCTTTGAGCACGTTTTACCCTCTTAGCAAGAGGCAGGTTGTCTCTTCACGGATCTCTGTCCCGGGGGTTGTCCCTGTGTCTCTCCCTTACTGCTTCCTGTGGGATCCTACTGGCCTTGTGACTGCAGGGTAGGGTACCAAGTAAACAGTGGGGCAGCTGTTGAGGGCATGTGGGATCGATGAGGACTTTGGCACAGGGGACTTAGGAATTCTAACCAGGCTCCCACAGACATACCCGGCGGGGGCTAGGAGTATTTGCTTAATTGTGCAGGGTGAGCCCCTTGCCTGGGACTGTGCCCCTGGCCTTTGTTGTCTCTGTAAGAGGCTTGGGGACCTTGGGATGCCGCAGAGGTTCAGACTTGGGGTTTGTGTCTAAAAACTCGTGTCCTGAGCCGTGTAGGCCTTTCTGGTATGTGGCCAGGTATGGAGGTTCCACTCACCAAACAGGAGGGGAGGGCGGGCAGGTGTGCAGTGAGAGATGACCAGGGAGGGGATGGATGGGGGAGGCCACAGAGCCGAAGTCACTTCTGTCTCTCCCTCCAGCCGTACCTTCTGTGGATGGCCATTGTCTAGACCCTCAGAGCAGCATCGAGTCCCCACCCGCTGTGCTGTGGACTCTAGAACCTGTCCCAGTGCCTCTGCCTTGCGCCCCCCCGCCGTCCCCAGCACAAGCAGGACAGCCCCGCCAACCACAAAAGCAGAGTTCACACGATAGAAGGGAAAGTCAAGTCCCCACACTTTTATCAGCAGATATAACTCTTAACATCAAGAAATGGTTTGCTCTGGTTTTCTCAATATTGGTATTTGTTTAGTCATAGCTACGATACATGGAGTTTTTGAGTTTTGTTTTAAAACTTCTTAGTGTTCATTTATGAGAGACAGAGAACACAAGCACGGGAGGGGCAGAAAGAGAAGGAGACATAAAATCCGAAGCAGGCTCCAGGCTCTGAGCTGTCAGCATAGAGTCCAGTGTGGGGCTCGAATCCACGAAGTGTGAATCATGACCCGAGGTGAAGTCAGACGCTTAACGACTGAGCCACCCGGGCACCCCCCCTAACATAATGTACCCCTACGTCTCACCATACACAAAAGTTAACTCCGAAGTTAACTTGGAGAGCACAGAGATGTGAGTGTAGAATGTAGAAGCTCTGAGAGGAAGCACAGCATAAGTCTCCGTGACCGCGGGTTGGCAGGGAGTGCATTCTTAGATCCGGCACCCAGAGCATGGGCAACGCACGGACAATAGCCCGCATCCAGCCGGGCAGCTTGTGCTGTAATACCATTCAGAAAGTGAAGCAGGAAAACCTTTTTCAAAACATGTGTTCGGTAATGGGCTTATGCCCAGAATGTCTGAAGAACTCCTAACTCAAGAGATAAAATGAAATGGGGGTGCCTGGGTGACTCAGTTTCTTGAGCGTCTGACTCGGTTTCAGCTTCGGTTGTAGTCTCACAGTTTCGTGAGTTTGAGCCTGGTGTTGGGCCCTGTGCTGACAGAGTGGAGCCTGCTTGGGATTCTCTCTCTCCCCCTTTCTCTGCCCGTGCGCTCTCACGAGCGCTCTCTTTTTCTCCCTCTCTCTCTCTCAAAATAAATAAACTTTAAAAAAGAAAAAGAAATAAAATAAATTGAAAATTTAGAAGTGGGCAAAGGGTCTGGATAGACATTTCCCCAAAGAATACAAAGCAAATGGCCGATATAAACACATGAAAAGATGCTAAGCGTCATTAGGGAAACACAGATCAAAACCACATTGAGATACCACATCTTCTAGGATGGCTGTGATCAAAAAGACAGGCAAAGATGGCGCGCGCGCGGCTCAGCGCGTGATCTCGTGGGTCATGAGTTCGAGTGAGCCCCACACGGGCTCCTTTTAGTCAGCGTAGAGCCCGTTTTGGATCCCTTCCCCCACCGCTCACGTGGCCGCTCTCTCAAAGGTAAACATTAAAAAAAAAGGGGGGGGGGGATGGACAGTGATAATGAGCGTTAGCCAGGGTGTGGAGGAATGGGCACCCGGTGCTGTGCTGTGAGAATGTCAAGCGGTGCCGTCACTTTGGGAAACAGGCTGGCAGCCCCTCAGAAGGTCAGATGCCGTCCCTTCTCACTGAGCACTTGTGCTGGCAGGTGTGTCCTTGCGAGCGCCCTGGGGACATGGCCGCAGAAGCTGCTGTCCAGGAGTGCTCATAGCAGCTGCTTTTACAGGAGCCAGACCGGGGAGACAGCGCACGTGTCCGCGAGCTTGGCATGCGCATGGGCAAGCAGTATTCCATCTTGGAGGGGAATGGAGCTCTGGTCCCCACTGGAGCATCCATGGAGTATGAAGCATTGTGCTGAGTGAATGCCGGCTGGGGTCAGGGTGGGGGTTGGCGTTGGGGGGGTGTCTTTCTTTTAGGTCTTGTGATTTCTTTCAGAAGTCTGTCATAGTTTTCAGTGTATAAGCTTTGCACTTTTTTTTTGGTTATAAATTATTTATTTTTTATTTATTTTTACAAATAGTTTATTGTCAAATTGGTTTCTATATAACACCCAGTGCTCATCCCCGCAAGTGCTCTCCTCCATGCCCATCTCCCCCCTCCCCCCCTCACCCATCAGTCCTCAGTTTGTTTCTCAGCATTCAAGAGTCAGCTTT